TTATGAAAACTAAGAGTGCAGCTACTGCTTTTTTTTTTTTTTTTTTCTCGTCCTTTCTTTAACTTCGTTCCTTCTTTTTCTTAATTCGTCTCCCTTCGCTACTTTCGAACTCAACGGCCCCAAAAAAAATTACTTTAATTTTTTCCCTTTACTACTCACCTTAAAACAAATTTCATTTAGGTTGTTTGTTTTTCAAAATCTTTTTTTGTTTTTATTGTGATCGCTTCATGTGAGTCTTTTCCTTTTTTCCTGCGCCGCGTTCTTTCGATTTATTTTTTTTAATCTATGAGTTCTCCTTCTTCTTTTTTTTTTTTTTTTTCTCGTCCTTTCTTTAACTTCGTTCCTTCTGTTTCTCAATTCGTCTCCCTTAGCTACTATCGAACTCAACGGACGCAAAAAAACTGACTTTAATTTTGGCCCTTTATCACTCACATGACAGCAAATTTCGTTTAGGTTCGTTGCTTTCAAAAATCGGCTAAATGTTTCCAAATCGTTTTGCCAGTCTCTTACAGTGTGACATTTTGGACTGGCAAACGGCTTTTCAGGTCGTTCGGCGTCAACAAGAGAGAATGAGTTAAGAGAGGGAATCCCTGTGCCCCATGATAATTGTTTTAAATCTATTTAAAGTTCACGCGCGTGCTGCGAATTGTTTTTTTGTCTGTTGTTTCCGTGACCCGCGTGGTCTACTTTCATGTGAACGTGACATGTTTCGCAGCCAAAAATTTGAAGTTTGACAGCCATTATAGTAATTATCGCCAGGAGCCTATACTCCTGTCGTTGACATGCTTTTTTGTCACCGCGTTCCGCTCATAATTATGAATGAATTTCATTTACAAAGGTATTGCAGTTTTAGTGTCAAAATTTCATTTTGAGATCAAAGATTGAGATTTTCTAGCGGCTGGTAGCCTCATTTAAAGAACGAACATTGAATTCTGACACACTGTAAAAGCCAAAGGCAAAGGTTATCACTCGCGAAACACCAAACCCTTTAATAAGTGGCTGGCTTCAATTGTTTATGCAAATGTCAAGATTTTTTTTCTCTTTTTCCAGGAATATTTTTCGCTCAGAAACATTACATTTCCTTCTTATTATTATTCTTGAGAGTTTCAAACCGTATTACTTCTTTTTAACGTCTAATACCTGCGATGAATATTTTGCCATGCGAACACAAAGCAGGTCTGATGCTTCAAGCTGTTTAACATTTGCTAACCTGGATGCCAGAGACTTTTGATGCACGATTTCCGGTTTCGCTCATTTCTTCATAGTGAGCGGTGTGCTAAAAAATTGTCAAAATTCAAATGCCTGGCCGCCAAATATTCATATTTGAACCCACTTTGAGCCTATTTTCCCGTTACGTGTCCACGGATGGATCCAAACGACGGTATCACAGCTCGCGGGTAAGCGTGGATGTAGCTGGAAAAGACAGTTGTCGTTTTAATACACTAGGTTGTTGGTTGTTTATATACTGATGCAGCGAAGACCTCAGTGAGGAATTTTCGTCGAGTCGGAACCGCTTTCTCAGGCGAACTCCCACAAACCAGGAGCATTTTGCTCTTCAGCAGCTACTCTGACCAGATTTTTCCGCGTAGAAATCTTTTGACTTGTCGACAAAAGCAACACCAAGTTTGCACGTCATATCGCTTGCTGTGCGTGATCTCCAGTGGAATGATTTACCCGCCAAGTTTAAAATTACATGACGCTTCTCTAGCCGACCAATAATGTGGCGTCCTTAAAATAACCACGCGGTATGACGCAGAACCAAGAATAGATTGAAAATAAATTTCATGGGAAGAGGGTCATGTATGTGGGATTCGCTCTCTTAGATCATTCTCTCTTGGCGTCAATGCTGTTCGTTTTGTAGAATCAACTGTTAGCAAGTTAAGGTTTATTGAAATACCTTAGCTTCGAAATTATAAAGTCATTATTTTTTAATCACTTATTTAGATAAAAGTGAAGAATTCAAGTAGCCCAAACTACGTGGAGTTTCCTTTTAAAAGCTGGTTTGAGTCAGACGTTTGGACAAAATTCGTATGTAAGTCAAATCTTATTTACACATTTTTTAGATCCCCTACAAATGGCAGCTTTGAGACAGAGTTTAACAATTAAGCTCCGTGCGAACGGACGTAGCATTTCTGTACAACAGAGTAAGCCAAATACAATTGTCACTCAAGTTGCTAGAAAGACATAATTTAGGCTAAACGCCTAATAAATCGCACAAATTATATTTGTCTAATTCTTATTCCTTTTCTATTTCCGCGAGTACACGCACAACAACAACAGTGCAAACAAACAAATAAACAAAAAAGCAAGAAAGAAATGGAAGATATGTTGCAAAGCTGAATAACTATAACAAAATAACAGTTACTTTGGGTCAAGCAATATTTCATTTTAGTATATACACACTCCGTGACCTTGGTGATTTAAGCAATCTGATTGGTTCGCTATCTTGGACTATTCAACAACATTCACCTCCTAGCGAGTGGATAATGTGTGAGCCCAGTGTTTTTCCCATTGTTTTAGAGAAAGATCTATTAAAAGTCGACAAAATGCTAGGGTTGACTTTTTTAAGGCAAGAAAAGACTTGGAAGGATTAAAAACGGCGTTTTTTTTTTCCATTTACTGTAGCGGAGTTTTGTGGTCGATGGATTTTTTCCAACCCCCATTTATTCGCGTATAAGAAGCCGTTTCGTGAGCTCAAGAAAAGAAAATTTGGCCTAAAAATCGAAGTTTATCTATGACAAACAAATTTGAAAGCAAATGTTTGCAAAAATTCCACGTTTCAAGTAAATAGGAAAAAGACGACGTCTTACCTTGAGCAACCTAGCCGCCATTTTTGTCAGCCCTTCATGTGAAGAACGTCACAACAAACCCTTTTGGCTATAAATTTGGCGATTCAACAGAAAAAAAGCAAAGCTCTACTTTTCTTTTCAGCTAAGGAAACAATTCAAACTTTTAAAGGTTCCTTTTAAGCCATTACGCTGTTGTTTTCGAAGCGACAGACTAGAGGATTGCCGTGTTTGAAAATTTTGCAAAGATCCATTTTAAAACTTTCGCCTGATTTGATCCGTCAATCAAATCGTACTTTTTATATAATGGTTTCGTTCGTCTCTGATTTTGTTGAGATCACTTCATGTGTATATACTAAAACAATTATTTTTGTCAATATCGGTGAATAGTGGCTTCACGGGACGATCCCTCAGGACCTGCTAAAACGTTTCCAAGTGCTTAAGAAATGCAGGAACAAATTTGACTGTTTAGTGTACGAAATGCTTTTCATAAGAACCTTAAAGCCAATTCTCAACGAGAAATCAGACTCTATTCGTGCGAAAGTATTTTCATAGTCTTCGCACCCTGTAATTTGCATGATCAAAAACATTTTTCCTTGACAATGGAGTCATGACTACTCCGAAACGTCGGATTTTATCGTTCGTTTTTACCGTTTGATCTCTTAAGAAATCTCGTTTAATATTAACAATTATTCTTTGAAATCGAGCTGAATAGTGGCACGTTATTATCCGAGCCGCAAAGCGGCAAGGTAAATATTCCTAAAGCCACTATTCACCGAGATCGAAAAGAACAATTGTTTTAGTATCTACATACGAAGTGATCTCAAAAAAATCAGACAGGAAACCTTTAAAAAGTTCGATTTAATTAACGGATTAAATCACGCAAAGGTTTAAAAATAGATCTTTGCAAAATTTTCAAAAATGGCAATTTTATGGCTTAAATGGAACCGTTAAAAGTTTGAATTGTTTCCTTATCTGAGAAGAAAAGTAGAGCTTTGTTGTTTTCTGTTGACTCATCAAGTTTTTAGCCAAAAGGGTTTGTTATGTCGTTCTTCGCATGAAATGCTGACAAAAATTGAGCGTCTTGTAGCATTCTTTTTCTTATTTACTTGAAATGTACAATTTCTGCAAACATTTGCTTTCAAATTTGCTTGTCATAAATAAACTTCGATTTCTGGGCCTAATTTTTCTTGTTAGGAAACGCCGAGTTCACGAAACGGCCTCTTCTATGGGAATAAACAGGAGTTGTAAACAATCCATCGAGCACAAAACTCCGCTACAGTAAATGGAAAAACGCCGTTCTTGCCTTAAAAAAAGTCAGCTCTCGGATTTTGTCGACTTTTAAAAGATATTTTTCTAAAAAAATAGGAAAAAAATCGAGCTCAAACATTATCCACTCGCTAGGAGGTGAATATTGTTCAATAGTCCGAGATAGCGAACCAATCAACAGATTCATCTCGCAGAATGAGTGGAAATCGTTAATTATTCATGACCGCCGAGGGGCAAATTCGAATGCACGAGCGCTTTGAATAAGCTCCAAATATGAGAAGAATGGGCTTTTTTTGGTCCACCAGCGTTGATAAAACTCCTTGTCGCGACTTCGTTAGCTCCAAGATGACAGAACCACGGACGGAATATTAAAAAGAAATTATTTATCTACGGTTTAAGCACAAAATATATAAATTTTACGTAGCAGACGTACTATCCCGCTGCACTTGAAAATTGGTAAAAAGAGGCCATTTTTTGTATGGAAGCTGACTTTGGGCGCGACTTTCTGGAAAGCGGTAAAAAAAATCCTCAAAACCACGGACAGAATATGTAAGATTGCTCTTTCCTTAAACAGAATATGTTTTAACTTTTAAAATTTATGGAACCACCATCCCTGCGAGTTTGAAAAAGTCTGGTAGAAACGCAGTGTACCTAAGCCCAGCAAGCTATTATTTTAAGCACAGGTATGAATAACAATGGCTGTCATATATAACAATACGCCATTGAAAACCACTTACTTGTGAAGTAAGTCATTAGCTGGTGCCGCGAACTTTAAAATATATTAAAGAATCACTGTCTGTTTTGTTTTTTGTTTGTTTGTTTGTTTGTTTGTTTGTTTTTTTTTGCTAATACACGAACCTGACGAGGAAGTACTAGTAAATGGCAACCGGTGATGTTCGGTAGCACTTAGATAGTTTACACCATGGTCATTCTAATTAAATGGCAATGCAACATTTATTCACGCCAGTGTACTATATCAAAGTTGTAACTTCCAATAAGGCGGATGCGGTGACCAATGCACTGATGTATATCAGAATATATGGTGAAACAGGAGTCACTGGAAATATACTTTTGGATAATAAAACTCGAGATGACTTTGAAAGAGGAAGGTAAGTGTAGTATCATTATTACATCAATCATCATCACCATCATCATCATCATCATCATCATCATCATCATCATCATCATCATCATCATCATTATATAGTATTTCGTTTCATTTGGCTACACAGATGAACGAAACAATCTATCTTAGTTTGCATGCGACATATTGGGAAAATCTGAGCAAAATAAAAAAATGAAATAAAATAAAATAAAAAACGACCAACAATTTCACTGATGCCTTTCTTGCCTGGAGGCCTTCATAACATTAGTCAAACCCCAAACCCTGAAACAGAGTATAATTCAGGCATTGGATCACCTCTTCATCTATTTTGTTAAGATAGGGGTAACAAAATCAAAACTGAGAAGCCATGTTTTCATGGTAGTCAGTATTCAATAGTCGGCACTAAGGGCACACTCTATAATCCAGAAAGTTTCTTTTATCCTCCATAAGGTGCCATCTTCTCTACACTGGGGTAACCAGGTTCCCTCGTTGATGTCCCACGGGAGAAAAATATGTTTTAAATACAGATCTAGAGATCAAATCTTGTGTAAAGTCTGGCAGAATCTATGAACCAGTTTCACACGTTGTATAGTGCAATTCACCAGATAAATCTCTGCAGTGAATAAACATTAGGGAAACCAATTGCCCATGTACTGGATAAAGATTCATTATCCAGTGGACAGTGTTATCTACATTTTAAACAACTTTGGCCAGCATAGTTACCTATACTAGCTGTATTGGTTACTTAGTCATAGATGCTGCCCCACAAGATCTCATATGAAGTGGAGATAAAGAGTAGCGATTGAATGATTAAATGATTGATTGATTGATTGATTGGTTGATTAATCTATAATTTAATTGACTGCCTTTAGTGCTGTTTTTAGGGCTGACCTTTTTACGAGAGGTGAAAAGGATGTTGGAAATGTCATTGGATTGGAAGTCAAAATTGATAAAATTTTGAGGGAGTCTGACGACAACATCAGTGATCCTAGCTGGGCTTTTGACTACGTGAGTTATAGCCAAAGAGCTTTGCTTTCAAACAAAAATCTAAATTTTATTTTATTTGTAAACTTTGTTGAAAAGAGTTACTGTCGATGATCACTTGTGTCCCATATACTAGAAAGTTGGAATAGTTTAATTATTTGTTGTTTTCTAGATTGGCATTAAGACTCCAAATGACCCAAATTACGCTGCGTTTTATTTTGGTGGCTTGTTGAAGGAAGATCAATCGGTCAATTTATCCGGTGAGTGATTAGTGATGAGTGTCGTTGGATTTATTCAGTATGTATTATTTGATGCCATGGTAATAATAGGCAGATGTAACAACAAAAGCGGAACGTCATTTGACGACGGAAGAGCGCGCAGAAAGGACAAAACTCGACTTCCGGTGCCCAATTTTCCGCTCAGCCATTGGTCAAGCCAGTTGTTTGATTTGCGCGCGCCTTCGTCAACTGACGTTCCCGTTCTGTTATTACATCAGCCTAATAATAGGCACCTTAAGGTGACTCAACACAGTTTTTTTTTTTTTGGGGGGGGGGTACCATCCTACTTTGAAGCTCTCTGGAATCCCCACCTTTTCTCTTATCGTAAGTCTAATAATAGAATGGATAACATATAGATCAATCTACAATATAACATAACCTTTTTTGGCGATCGGAATAAATGTCGCGTGGTTATAATGCCACGCCCCTTTGAGCTCTGAGTCGAAAAACTGCTGTTGCCGGCATTTTTTCGTGAAAATCTCTCGGCTACACATAGTGCGCATTAGTGCCTTGCGCTGAAGAGAGTTTCACCAAAATCGCAAAGACCCAATTCGAGAAATTCAGCGGTTTCCAAATTAAGGTCATAATTTATGCTAAAATGATAAGCAAACTTTTCACGATTATACCTAATAAACTATGTGACTTATCGCATTATTTTGTTGGGGATCGTTATAACAGATGGGTCCTTGCAAGTCAGCAAAAAGCTTTAGGGCCTTGTAAATGCGCGCGATTTCGAGCAAAGCAAACATATAGAAATTATAGTTTTAGCTATGTGTTGTCGTTTGTCAGCTTTTAAGAGTCCTTCTCACGAAAAAAGCATTTTCTTAAAAATTCGTAGTTTTTTATCCTTCAAATTTTTTAGGGNGGGGGGGGGGGTACCATCCTACTTTGAAGCTCTCTGGAATCCCCACCTTTACTTTTATCGTAAGTCTAATAATAGAATGGATAACATATAGATCAATCTACAATATAACATAACCTTTTTTGGCGATCGGAATAAATGTCGCGTGGTTATTATGCCACGCCCCTTTGAGCTCTGAGTCGAAAAACTGCTGTTGCCGGCATTTTTTCGTGAAAATCTCTCGGCTACACATAGTGCGCATTAGTGCCTTGCGCTGAAGAGAGTTTCACCAAAATCGCAAAGACTCAATTCGAGAAATTCAGCGGTTTCCAAATTAAGGTCATAATTTATGCTAAAATGATAAGCAAACTTTTCACGATTATACCTAATAAACTATGTGACTTATCGCATTATTTTGTTGGGGATCGTTATAACAGATGGGTCCTTGCAAGTCAGCAAAAAGCTTTAGGGCCTTGTAAATGCGCGCGATTTCGAGCAAAGCAAACATATAGAAATTATAGTTTTAGCTATGTGTTGTCGTTTGTCAGCTTTTAAGAGTCCTTCTCACGAAAAAAGCATTTTCTTAAAAATTCGTAGTTTTTTATCCTTCAAATTTTTTAGGGCCACAATTGATTAACTAACTACCCGAATTCTGAATTTCATGGTCATTGGAAAACTGTGATATTATCTTCTATAGGCCCAAACTTGAGTAAAAATTGAAGACTTTTAGCGTTTTGGCTGAGTTTGTGCTTTGGGAGTTGTCCATTGTTTCTAGTCTGTCATTATACAGCATTCTTGTTCAGCACGCGTGCAATGACCACGCTTGGCTGACTTCCGATGCTTCGAGAGATTTTCCTCGAGAGCTTTAACCGGCCGGTCTTTGTTGCTTTTAACTCCAGTCATGCAAGGGTCCCAAGTATCAACGCATTTTCTTTTTCCAGTTAAATAGTAAAAAATGATTGGATTCCCAGACGAACTTGCCAAGGAGCACATTTTAGTATGGGTTCGTACGTCTTTGTTTGGTTGAAATCTGGTATTTCCTTTATTGAAACAGTTTGCAATAGGTCCCTTGGTATGGAAAGCGAAGTAATCACTGACGCCCAGCTTTCTGCTTCTTCCGAATGGGGTGGCAATGTTTCACATTCTCCGCGACAAGGCAGGTTGAATTTCCAGATGTCTCACAATGTGGCGGGTGGTTGGTGCCCTCATCCTAACGATTCCAACCCTTGGCTTCAGGTTGATTTTGGCAATTGCACCATAGTGACAGGCATAGCCACACAGGGGAGAAATGAATGGGGATATTGGTGGGTTACTAAATACCAGTTAAATTACAGTGACAACGGAGTTGCTTTCAAATTCTATATGGAGCCTCCGAGCACTTCGGCAAAGGTAAGCTTTTATGACTTTTATTTTTATCATTAGGGACCTTAAGATACCCTGGACGCGGCGGTAAAATTGCCGGAGAAAGCCTGGAGCGAGGACGCCGCCACATTGACAGGAAAAACAAATTAAGATTAAGCAGGTTGCATTGAGCGCTCGCCTGACGACAGAGGATAAAGTAATGCTTTCGTGTTTTAATTCCATGACATCTTTTAGAAAAACTCGTGAAATTAATCTTGTTTGATTGATCTCTTATTGATCTTTTATTGAAGAAAAATATGTGCTGCCGGCTATGACTCCAGTTTCTCTAAAATCCCCCGAATTTCTTCGAGGGAAATCGGAGTTCGGGTTATCAGCTATCTGTTCCCAGACTTTTCCCCTTTCCGTTGTTCTTTCTTTTAAAACAATATGGTTCTTTTATGAGAACTTCCCATAATAAGGCGATTTTGATTTTCAGACCACTCCAGCGCTAAACTGAAAGTGAACAAAATAAAACCATTTATTATGAAAGTTAATAAATGAACCATGGCGTCTTGTTCAAGATCTCAATTTTCTTCGACATGTTCAAGTTTATTACAATTTGTTTTCTAACAATTTTTATTCTTCTCGTCTCTTAAATTTTTCAAATACTACCCTACAGCGAGAACGTTACCCCCAAATGAGCAGTTATAGTGTTACATTTGTGTCGAAAGACTCTGCGCTTTCATTCTCAGTTGCCGCCGAAACACTGAACCCAAAAGGCTTGATAGCAAAAAATAAGAGTCAATCTCGGGAGAACACCACACTAAAAACACTTAAATGTGTCTCTTGAAGTAAAACGGATCGAAAATCCTGTACGAAGAGCAATTTCTGCACTCAAAACAAGAAAACTAACTCACCGTTTAACGAGGCGGCCAAACATCGAGTTTTCACCGTCGCGACTTCAGGTCGACGCTGTGGCATTATGCTAATTAGTTCCAAGAATTGAACATTTCACTTACTCGGCCGCGTCCAGAGTATCTTAAGGTCCCTATTGTTATCATTGTCATCATGTGAAGAGTTTGTGCCTAAGAGTCAAAGCCTGATTACAACTGTAACTGACTTCAAAGGTATTATCTGGTATTATATACGTCGACCAGTTATTGATCTCAAATTCTGTTAGTTGACTGCAAAATGTTTTTTTAGTGTCACTAAGATTTCTACTGGTGGGATTGCCGAACCGCTAGTTGCTACACTAATATTCGCAAGTCATTAGTTAGCGGTTGTAGTCATACGCATACGCAGTTAGAGCTGCTCAGCTCTTGAGGGGATTGCCTTATTGAAACTCGTGTTTTTTGATGTTTTGTGTTTCATCTAGTTAAATATCCAACATGTTTGTGTTTGAAACTATTGACCGGTTCTACAATATTTAACATCAATCACTATCAACGACATTCCTATTCACGACTATGGTCACCCAGACAATCATGCTCCACTTGCATTTGTTATTTCTATTGTTATTATAATTCATTATTTTTCGTGTGTGCTGACATTTGTCCTTTCAAAGTGGCCACACCATAGAACGTCATCCAAATTCCGAGCATTGATATTGTTTTACCACAAATACTTTTTTCTTTTCATAACGGCATTTCATTTTGGCTTGTCCTCACCTGATATATAAAGACTGCTAATGGACATTCGATCGTGTAACTGAACATTTTTTTGTTGCTGATTAAAATAAACATGCATGCGAGGCGAATTCTCTCGAACCATCCCATGAGTCTCATTATCCTTTACACAGTTTAGAGTGAAAATGTTTACTGTCAACTTTTCACTTATAGGTGTTATGTTCGAAATTGTAATTTTTATTTTACATAGTGTCAACGCTATCGATTAATTGTTGTAGTTCATTTATCAGGAACATTGATGGAAGCGAACAGCTGCTGAAAATAGCATTCATCAAATATGCATATTTTATTAGGTATTCATGTATAAAAGCGCCGTAAATTCTACAAAACCGTGACTATTTGTAATGTAAGGTCTCAATCGTTCTCGCCACCCATTCGATTAGGCAATTTTTATGATAAAACGTGATCTATTCGTTGCACCGATTAAAATCAAATTGCTTTAGTGTTGACCAGTGTTAGTTTTAGTGTTTTAACCCTAATACAACGAGAAGAGCAAATGGGATGGATAATTAATGGAATTAAGGTGGTTATTAATGTTAAAAATAAATTGTATGCATTTGGAGACGAAGTTAGGTACAAACACTATAGAAATAAAATTTGTACACTGATACGCGTAGGGAAAATGAAATACTATAATACGTTTTTCGAAAATAATATGGCCAACATGAAAAAAAAAAACCTGGCAAGGAAAGGAATCAATAAACTTTTACATCGACGGGAAAAAAAGAAACAGACAAACCAACTTAAAAGTCACATCTGCACTAGAGGATTTTAATAATCGCAACAAAATTGTTAAGGATGGTTTGCGGAGTATTCATTGATCTTAAAAAAGCCTTCGACACTGTCGATCACGACATTTTGCTTGATAAGCTCAATCACTATGGCTTTCGTGGAATAATTAATGATTGGTAGTATATCTGGCGAAACGAAGGGACTAAGTCGTTTTATGGCACCTACGCCAGAGACAATCTTTTGGATAGTTTGTCGATATGACTATGCCACGCCATGTTATCATTAAAAAAATAATAATAATAACAAATAAATCAATCCAAAGTAAATTGGTAGTGGATACGTGTTTTATGGAAGCATTATCTATCGCAAGATTACGGCATTCAGACAATGTAGCAGAACGATTAACAGTTTGGCAAATTGCTAAATATAGATAGAAGTAGAAGAGGGCCTAGGATAGTTCGCTGAGGAACCCCTCAGCCCAAAGAACAGACTTTGGAAAGCAAACCGTTAACAACACATTTCTAGGTAAGGTTGTTTAAACAGGATTTAAACCAATCGTAAGAAGTCTCCTATATTCCGTACAGACTTAGTCTAGTTAAAACAACATCGCGATCAACGGTATCAAACGCTTCCTTCGGGTCCAGGAAAACCATTGCATTTACATTACTGCGATATATATTGAAAGCCCAGCTATTAGTCAGTTCTAAGAGAGCAGTGAGAGTCGAGTGCAAGGAGCAAAAACCTGATTGTTGGTTAGTGATGATCTCTTCATTAATAATAGTAAAAAAGCTATACAATTGATCATACACTATTCTCTCGAACAATTCAGCTATTTACTGAGATTACAGAGATTGACCGATAATTATTCACAATAGTTCGTCCACCTTGTTTAAATAATGGAGTCATTACAGCGTATTTCCAGTCATCTGGAAATAAACCAGATCTTAGAGACGTATTGAAAACTGACAAAGAGGGATCGAGATAAGATCCACACATTCTCGAATTAGTTTTGCACAAATAAATTACTATATAGACTTGTTGCTTTGGTTTTAGATAGATTATTTAAGAAAGAAAAAAACATAACTACAACTAATTGGAATGAAAAAGAACTTGTTGCTGCCAACATTGTAATCAACATATTTGAATCACTGGTAAAAAGGGGTACCCCATTGGCAAGTTTGGTTTTAATTGTTGAAAAGTGATCATTAAGCACCAATTAAATGGAGGTGGGGGACCCCAGATAGGTGAGGTAACATTCGGCGGGTCACCCCACCTATTATGTACACGTGATCAAATTAAATTGAAATATTATATGGATAGGTGGGTTACCCCACCTAAGCGGGTTATCTCACCTACCTAGGGTCCCGTGCCTCCATGGAAACAGGCCCTAAATGCATTGGAGAACTCGTGAGAACTGGTGACTGAGTTCTCGTTTAGTCTGACGGGACGGGAGTTTGTTAGTCATTTGCCAGGTTTTACATGAGTCGCCATTAGACTGAAGAAACGCATTGGTACAGTAATAGGATACTTAAGTACTAGATTTAACATCTCCATCAATCTTATTACGTAGCCTTTTGTACAAATCCCTGTCTTGAGGATCGTGAGACTTAACAGAGACTTAACAAGTTTCCGTTTAGCAATATAACGATCGCGCATACCCTTTCGCAGATCTGATATAATCCAAAGTACTTTTTTTGCCTGGCCTGATACGTATTGATTTGATTGGAGCATGACTGTTCAAAATAGTAAAAAATTTAGCTTCCCATTCAGCACACAAAACTTCACAGACACAGGACCAATCCTGTCGAGAAATATCGCGGCGAAAGGTTTCTCGAGTAAAATTACCAAAGGTTTGGTAAGTTTTATTGGAATGCCCTTGGAAAGGAAAGTCCGGGGATAGTTTACGACACACGAGGCTTTGATCACTAATGCGAGTATTTAAAACTTCTGAACAGACTGCCCTGTTGATTCAGCTTGAGAGTATTACTTTACTGATTTTATTACTTCTGAACAGACTGCCCTGTTGATTCAGCTTGAGAGTATTACTTTACTGATTTTATTACTTCAATTAACGACGATGATGATTCAGTAATACGATCGGTTCTGTTATAAGTTCTTGTAGCCTATAGATATCAGACATTTCTCATAGTAAGGGTTGGAGTGGTACTGGGTAGAGGCCAAATGCTATTCAAGTCACCCATTAGATAGTATTCAAAACTGGAAGAATCTACTTTTTCGATGAGAGTCTCATAGTGCGAGAAAAGTTCGACCGAAGAGCAGGAAGGCCTATACAACCACGAGAAGTGGGTTAGAGCATGCTTTTGAATTTATTAACAGAAGTTCTCAAGATTATGAAAAAACGACAACTTTTTTGATACAGGAGATTTAGAACCAGGAGATCAGTTAAAACTCTCTTTTTAAAGCACTTCATTCTACCGATGCTTTACTTCAACTTAAACCGCCCCAGTTCCAACTGCTCCCATACCGCAGAAATATTCATTTCATTTCCAGCTTATTCGTATTGAGTCAAAGCCGGAAATCTCAATTACTAATGTGTCAATCTGCCTCTTTTATAACTAGATTTTTGACGGGAATCAAGACAGGGACACCGTTGTGAAAAACGTAATATTCCCGCCGATTACAGCACGATTTCTCCGGATTCTACCCTTAGAATCGCACAACGAATCTGCCATAAGAATGGAAGTTTATGGCTGTGCAGGTATTGTTAACTATACAGGCTACGGCAATACCAGTGCTAAGTACAAAAAATTCAAAAAGTAACGTAGCCTTAGCTCTCTAGGTTTCAAGCAACTTTCATAAGCATTGACAGCAAATATCATGGTTCATGGTCTTTTTCTTTTTTTCTTTTTTCGATCTGTTCGTCACTATCCCAATCATATATAACATTCTCCTCCACATCATCACAAATGTTCTCTTCGTCACATTCACTCACTCAGATGCATACATGATAAATAGGTTCGATCCCATCCACCTACCTTGCGCAAGGCCAAAATCTACTCCGAAGGGAGGGGTTCTGGTTGACGATAAAATTCTGATCACGACAAAAGAGGAAGGACAAATCTATTTCTTCGCATTGCCAACCGAGTCAGCTGTCGCCAAGTTTTTTAACCCATGCAAGGTCTCGTGTTCGATTGTGTTAAATGACAGTAAAGTGCCGCATCGAAGTCAAGAAGAACTAAAAGGGTTCTATCTCCTTTGGCGATATGTTCATCACGTTGTCGTTATGGACTTTAAAAAGTGCCGTTTCAGTGGTATGACCTCGATGATAGGATGACTGGTTTTCCGGTAGAAGCGCCGAAGCAGTGTATTAGTCAAAGAATTGTTGAACCACTTCCCTCTCTGCACTCTTCCCGTTGAATGGAAGGTTTCGCACAGGACTAGAGGCCCTTTATATCAGTTCTACGCCCAGTTACTGAAGAAAAAAGATAATAACGAGAGCGAAATTCCATCGCAAGAATCCGTCTCTTCTGAGAAGAATGGTTTTTTAGTTTGGTTGTCGAAGGCGTCGAGACATCAGCGCACTCCTGAGGAGCCATAGGGAGAGCTTGCCAAGCTGAGAAAAAGCGTTTGATGAAGCACTTACCTTTCCATGTCGTCTCATCTGAAGCTCTCAAGATTCCTCTTTGTTGTACGGTGTTCATCTGGATCTGGATTTGTTATAAAGGACGTGGTGTCATTGATGTCGCATGTGAGGGTCTGGATTTTCTTACAAAAGAACTCCTCGCACGCGTTAGCCAGGCGGCAAAGATCTTCTCTCCTTATCCTTGCACAAGGAGTACACGATAACAAAAAGTTTCACCGCGTCTCCTGCACAATGCTCGGTCAAACAACTTGTCCCTATTGAGACCGTTTTTTTTATTCCTGCGACAAGGGGGAGGGGTTTTATAGGTCCCCACTATAACTTCAAAACCACTTACGCTACGGTCACAAAAATTACACAGTCATAGCTTTAACGGTTTTCAAGTTATTCGACTTTTTTACGATGGGGGGGGGGGGGGGGGGGGGGGGCTCAAAACGCCTCCCTTCCCCCGTTCTGGTTAAGGTTAAGTTGCATCTTCCTGGTAAAGGGTATTCAGACTTTAATCAACTGAGAATGAGCATAAAGTAGAAGTGAGGTAGGTACGCCGTCGATACCACGTCTGTTATGCTACTGATACGCTTTTATATATATTCAACCAGCTGGGAATTCTCAAAGACATTTTGAGTGACATTGATACCCAGCTTCAACGTTCTTATCTGTCAAAAAAACGTACTCGAATTCCAAGCCTCACATACCTTACAAAATCCCCTTTATCATCCTATTAGTAATGGTTTGACGGATAATTTTAATGGAGTCAGGGGAACGGTCAAAAATGCTAGCAGAGAGGTACTTATACATTGATCCGCAAATATTTGACTGTTTAAAGTCACCTTTGGGGTCTACAGACTATAATTTAGCCGTTTCAGCTGTCAGAAAAATTTGAACGACCTGAAGTTTGCGAACAACTAGAAGACACAATCCACCTCGCCCAAAGTAAATTACACTACAAGCTGCGTAAATAAAACTACTAATACACCTCATAAACTGCAAGGTGAAAGACAGAAAATGTCAGCCAGGAAAACACCAACCGACCAAAAAAGCTGCTGATGCGGTGGAGTGGTCCTTCTGAGTTTAGTTCAGTAATGGGTCTAGCGAACTGAAAGGTTGTCGCCCTAAAATATTCAAGAAACATTTCGAGCAAGAGAGGGCCATCGTTGCAATAGCATTAGCATCACCTGCCCTTTACATTGACTGGCGTATAAGTTGAGGAGGAAAGAGTCCAGAGTCTTCCCAACTCTTTTCCCCGTTCCAGTAAAGTCAGTTAAGACATAGGTTCGACTGTATAACATATGTGTTTATTGATCGTTTTAAACATCACTGTTCAGAGTTTTTTTTAGTTTAGACAATACATGACAAAACCAATAACCTAATAATTTTGTTTTTGTTTTGTTTTGTTTGTTCTTGTTCTTTTTACAAGCATCAAATCCAAGGTTTTGTTCCAGTACTCCTAATAACACTACAGGTACGAGAAGATTTTTGAAGAACATTTTTAAATGATTAAAAGTATTTTTTTTCTGGGTGAAAAGGGCTTTAAATGTTAAACAGTTATTTATCATTGGGATGACAGGCTGCATTATCCATTACTGCAGATCTTCTTACTCAAAGATATTTGAATTATTATTATTATTTTTTTTTCTGTTTCGTTTCTGATTTTGCTTTTGTTTTTGCTTTTTTTTTTTGTTTGTTTTGTTTTGTTTTTCTCTCTCTTCTCGCTTGTGATCATTAAAACACGAGTGTGTATGTAGCGGGGATTAAAAAATCCGTGGAAGGGGTAAAAATAAACATTTAAAGTCACATTTTTGGCGTCAAAACAATAGTTTACCAACTCCATATGAAAGGTAAAGGTCACGGTCACATGATTAAATTATTATGTGGTGACCCTCTTCTCGAAACTTCCTGGTCCCCCTGGTTCACAATTGAAAATGAAAGTCCACTTTCAATAGTTTACCAAACACCTCCACTTTCAACATTTTACCAAAAAAAGTAATTCACAGTCTCCTAGTACCTAATTTGGTCCTCGTAGTTTTGCTAAGAACAATTTCATGGTTTCGATAATCTTTATTTGAGAAATAAGCTAGGTACTGTCAGAACCTTACCAGTCAGCTGTCACTAAAGTAATCACGTGCAAGGACGCAGTTTGTGTCTTTTTCATTCATCCCCGACATACGAGTGGATTCTCGCCACCTGATAGACCAGACCAGTTTGAAGTTTGTTGTTTTTCTGAGTTTTCTTTTCTACTAAAAAAAAAAGAAAAGAAAATAAAAAAACGACGTCATGGAAAAGCACAAGCACAAACAAAAGGCTGAGTATGGTTGCAAAATTTAAGAGGTGGATATATTTGTGTTCAACTTCAAGGAATTACGTTTATTCATCTTCAAAGAACAAACGATACTCATCCAACTTCAAGAAAGATTTATTGATTCAAGAATGTTATATTGATTCAAAAAAATTATATTCATTCAACAAACTTTTGTTCAAGAAAGCAAGACCACATTATTCGTTCAAGAAAATTACATTCATTCAACAAATTTTTGTTTTTTCAAGAAATTTACATTCACTCAACAAAACCAATAAAAAATATATATATTCTTTCAAGATCTCGAGTTCCCAGTCCCTCTCGTTTATTTTTCCAACAAATCAAGTTCCCGGACATCGTCGACAAAAACATGCATTCAACGAACTTGGCCGTCCCTACCCCAGCTGATTTGAAATTCCTACACATCATTCAATTTTCTCGACGATACCAAGTTCTTGTACGCTTCTCCATAGAGTCCAACGCGAGACAAGAAGAAGATCTGCAATATCTTTCCACTTTAGCAAAACTTAAGGCTCTAAGATGTAACAAAGTATTTTCGTTTATCTCTTATATAGTTCTCCCCGCTAATTCTTTCAGTTGGGCCTTATAGGTCTGAAAGGTGAGTGTAGTTTGGAGAATGCCTGAGTTTTATTTCTTGCAATTTTCTGCACCAACTAAGAAACATAACTCTCAAATTCGTAGCAGCTCCAATCAACTCATCTTTGTGGTCACTAACAAATTGCAAGATGTTCTCGACAAATTTTCCTACAGATTCCAATCGGTTTATCACTGACTCCACGAAAGGTCGTAAAATTTTATTTTGCTCCTCCTCAAAAACGTTTAACAGGCTTAGAATATCCTCAAAAAAATTCAAGATCAACTGTTCACTGGCTATTCCCTGTCCGCCCTTCTGGCATGAATGGCCGCGGTGAATGATGTGTAAGGTTTTCAAATCAGCTGGGGTAGGGACGAGCAAGTTTGTTGAATGTGTTTGTCGACGATGTCCGGGAACTTGATTTTTGAATAAAGATAAGCGCCAGGGTCAGGAAACTCGAGTTCCTGAACGAATAATGTGGTTTTGTTGAATGAATATCAATTTCTTGAATCAACATGAAATTCTTGAATGAATAACTCTTTCTTGAACTTGAATGAAAATAGATCTTTGAAGTTGAACCAAAATGCAGTTGTTGATCATGAACATAAACATTTTTTATGTTGAACACAAATATGTCCATTTCTTGAATTGTGCAATATAAACGGCCAACCATAGCTGAGGGGGAAAGCGTGTAATAATGTGTTGTATATCTAAACATGCCAAAAGCAAACCTGCACTAGGCCTTATTTACTTTTATAAAGGTTAATTGACTTGAAGTTACATACATTTTATTTCAGAAGACCCAGAAGGAATAATAGATGAAGGTTTATGCTTTATTAGTTAATGGATTGTCTCTTCTTGACCAACTCTAAAATGTCATTTTCCGTCATTTTCTTGTTTTTCTCGTCATCTATTTTTAAAATTTGGTCCGGTATTTCATTCCTGTTTATATGTCATCCATTTTCTGCCATTTGAATTTAAAATTTAAGAAATTAAAATGTATGACTCTAATGTCTGTCATTTTCATTTCTGTCATTTACTAAGTAAATTCTGACTGATTAAAGTCTGTCATTATTTGCATAAATTTAAAAAAAGTCAAAAAACTCATAAAACTAAATGAAAGAGTATTATATGACCTCGACCCCTTCTGGATCTCGGGAAAAAAAAAAAAAAAAAGAAAAAAGAAAAAGGAATAAGACGGCAAATAGTATTTTAGAGTTAATTTAGAACAGCCAATTCTTTTACAT